GTCCCCGTGCTTGTGTTTCAGATGACAGAGGGAGAGAGAGAGAGAGAGAGAGAGAGAGAGAGAGAGAGAGAGAGAGAGAGAGAGAGAGAGAGAGAGAGGGGGGGGGGGCATATGCATGGAGGTAAGGAATATAATAATGGAAGGGTGCGGTGAACACAATCATTAACCAAAGTGCACACATCTACGTCACAATGCTAAAAGGGGAATGCTATGGCAAAAAGTGGTATGAATAAATAATTTATTACACTCGTTATGGTGGTAGAGCATGATTTATCCAACGAGTGAAATTCACAAGTAAAATAAATCATGGTCTACCACCATAACGAGATTAATATTTTTTTTTTTTATAGCATACTGATATCAGCCGGCGAAATAGAACTGGATCAACAAAGTTCAAATGACCTGCCAATTGGACAAGAGGATCCATTCAAGAGTCTCAGATGAAAAAAATATTTCGTGCCCGTCAAAGTGAGGATCTTTATTTTTAGCCGCGCTAATTAATATTAGTCTTCTTTTTTTCTGCTTCATCTTTTGATTATTGTTGTCATTGTGGTAATTGTTGGTTTTTGTTTGTATTGGTTTTTGTTGTCGTTTTTGGGTTTTTTCTCCCTTATTTGTAGAAGGGATGGAGGGAAGGAGTGTGATGGTGCTTTTCTTAGTACCAAATATTACAAATGCAATGTCAAGCGCATAGGCGTGTCCTTAGCTGTTCTTTTAACCCGTAGTTCATCCTAAAGGAAGGAGCTACAATGATGTTGCTTTCAGATACCATACTCAGAAGGTCTGCCGGAAGTCGTCTTTTGACGTCATAGGTTGTCAAGACGACCAAGCGGTGCGGGTTTGCAGGAGTCACGGAGTAGACGGCCGTCTGTATCGAGAGAAAGATTTCAGATACCCATAATATTATGCTCGTACAATAAGAGCGGGCGTACAGAAGAAGCTGAAAGATTTATCAAGTGCATTGTGATGTAGATAGAATTTGAAGTGTCTTGCTGTCTCGGACTATGTCTGTTGTAGCTATTACAATAATATTGAGAATACGTGAACACGGTTGTAATGGACCTTACCCTTACAAAGAATGTTAACAAAGAGGTCCCTGCCAAAATAGATAAAGGGAGATACATAAAAATTAAACTGCGAACTCCTTGATATTGAATACGCTAAGGGCATCATAAACAGAGAGGGAGAGAGAGAGAGAGAGAGAGAGAGAGAGAGAGAGAGAGAGAGAGAGAGAGAGAGAGAGAGAGAGAGAGAGAGAGAGAGGGGGGGAGAGATAGAGAGAGAGAGAGAGAGAGAGAGAGAGAGAGAGAGAACGAGAGAGAACGAGAGTGAGCGAGAGAGAAAGAGATTGAGGAGAGACAAAGAGGCAGAGAGACAAAGATTTCCCCCAAACTAACACACACACACACACACACACACACACACACACACACACACACACACACACACACACACACACACACACACACACACACTCACTCACGTACAAACACACACACGCACATACACACAAGCAGAGGTCGACTTGGCAAAACTGTCCGAAATATTTTTTAAAAAACCCTTAAAAGTGCGTTTGCGGGTGTATTGTGGTGCATCAACATTGGTAGAATGGACATGTAATGCATATCAAATGAATGGAGGATATAACTGGTTTTGCAATAAACAGTATTTTACTACGTTGGCTTAAAACAGATTGGAAAATAGAACAGTCACAAACAGGCCTACTACACAAAACCTGGACTTAACTGAAGTGCTCAGTAATATTTTGTTTCGGAGCTATTGTTTTCCTGTGGAGCAAGAAAACCTTTTTGCGCATGGATTGTTTTATAGTGTGCCCACTAGAGGGAGCGGATCGGATCGGGTCGAGTCGGGTCGGATCTGCGGGTCGGGTCGTTTTCTGGTGGTTCCAGTGCACACTCCAACCTCGCCACGATTGTACCCGACGACCTGGAAGTTAAAGTAGAAAAACCTCTAACCTCAATGGCTTCCAAGGCTCCTTTCCGCAGTTTCTTGTTGCAGTGCTGCGGCAGCCGGGAATCCCATAAATATGGTTTACATCGATAACTTTTGATTATCAAAGTTCGTTCATAACAAGATAGTTCACTAGGCCAAAAAAGTGTCCGCGGAAGTACGCGCATTGGTTCAGATTGTGCTACAGCCTTTCGTTTTTCCAGAAGAAGAATAGGAATAGCACAGTTTGTTAGTTTCGGTTTTATTGCTTTTCACACAAGTAGGGTAACTCTGCTCGAAAGTTCGTATATTTTCGAAGAGGGCGCCGCCGGATTTTGAATTTCAACATGGACTCGTAATTCAGCCTTGTTGTGATTGGCTGCAGACCACCCGATCACGCGACTCGCAGGCCTGAAAACAAACACGTTTGTTTTTGAAGGTCACTGACCGAGTCGATCTGTTTGTGTCACGATGGCCGCTTTGCGCCCTCAGTTTGGCTAGCCCCGACTATCAAATCGATCCGACCCGACCCGACCCGATTGCGCTAGTGGGCACCCCCTTTCGGATATTGGACATAAGTGTCTGTCGGTGAGGAACAGAGGCCTCGAAACTGCTATGGTTTAGGCCGGTCCCAGAGTGGCTCTGTAGGTCTGACCTGTAACCTACCTGGCTCGCACCGTGCAAATGAATGTCATACATTATCGTGTGCTTAAGCAGCGTTGCTGTGTAGTCTGTTTTTTGTCAGCTGAGCTGCGCGATGCGTCAGACGTGCTATTCAACAGTGTTGTAAAAATGGCGGACATGTGTCGCCTCGCTTCGTGTTTATTTTCGACTGAAACTCTTCACAGATCATCAAAATCAACAAGAAGTAAGTATTATTAG